CCGGAACTTGGAATGCTCACTTTTGCTACTCCACCTGTGTGTTTTGGCCGTCGTTGCGATTCCCAAGACGGCATTCTAAGTTTCAGTCCGTCACTATACATAAAAAATATAAGCAGGTCAATTTTCGCCACGGGCAGAATAAATTAACGCACTTGAGATCCTTCATGAAAGCACTGCGGAAAGCATGCTGACTCTTGACATGCAAGGATCTTGTTGACAAATCTTGCCAGAGTTTTTTCATGTTTTTTTCCTACAACACTCAGCTATCTGAACTACTATATTATATATGCAATTGCCATGCTAGAGCAACCAGCTCAATGCAAAAGCTAGACTGCACTTTAACCTTTTAATGCTACATCTATCTCTCTTCTAACTAATGCCACGTCTGTGACTCTGTGCGGAGCCTTCCTCCCTGAGTGTATGCACTGCTACTACGTGAAGTTGGGCGGTGAAACAATTTCGGTTGGCACCTGGCCTTGCAGCCACAACACCTTGCTAAAAGCAAGGCTTGCTTTTAGTTACTTGCAAGGTGTTGGGCAGATTTGTTCCTACATAAAACATAAGGAGAAGAGCTTTCCGCTGGTGGAGGACACCACCGATGCCATGGAGTCTTCCGTCTACTGACTAGACTCTAAACCTTTCTACTGACTCTGGTCACGTATTCAATTTGAACGGTCTTGAGAGGTAAATACTTCATTAAGGTGCAATGAAAAGCCCACTTTAGGATCCCCTGCAGTGCTAATGATGTGAGCACCGGGAAGGGCATCAAGGGCTGCCACAACTTCTGAACCTGTTCCAGAAGTGTTTTTGCGTTTCCGGACAAGTGAGGAAATGGAGACCGGCATTTGTGAAGACTGCCAGACCTGCTGCTTCCAAGCCGTCTGCCAAATGGAAAAACATGGAGACAGGAGGCTGCCGACCCATGCCTTAGCTACGTGGGCCACAGAGTCTCCCACAAGATGAGCATATCGCGTTCAAAAAGGCATGCTTCTCAAAGCAAGTAATATACAGTAAACTCAATGCGATTCAATGCCCAATCTTAGGTCTGCGCTGTCTTGATCCTGCTGAAGCCACCTGTCAAAATGTGTTGCCCAGTGGTGAGGCAGGAGCGGAGCGCCGAGGATTTCAACTGCCGCACATTAACGAAAGGTAGGAAAGCTGGAAGGTGCAGGGGGTAAACCACAGGGCGCGTACACTTGCATCCTAAGAGAAGTTTGTTCATCCGATGATTTGGATCCACTTCGGGACGACGCGGGGGGGTTTAAGAGTGAAATATCAATTCCAAGCGGTTTGGTGTAAACGGTGGTTGGTGTAAGCCGCGGTTTGGTGAAAACGGTGGTTAGTGTAAGCCGTGGTTTGGTGTAAACGGTGGTTGGGGTAAAACGTGGTGTGGTGTACACGGTGGTTGGTGTCAACAGTGGCTTCGTGTCAACGGCGCTAACGGCGGTTCGTGTAAAACGTGGTTTGGCGTCAACGGTGGTTGGTGTAAAACGACCGCGCAGGGGCTTAAACGGTGGTTGGTGTAAAACGTGGTTTGGCGTCAACAGTGGTTGGTGTAAAACGTGGTTTCAGATCTACATCCGACGCGCTGCGCCAGCAAATCCAGATCTGAGCAGTAGCAGCGGATGCGCTGCGCGAATGCAAATCTGAGCCGTTGATTCGATCCGAGAATTTGTTGACTCGCGGTTCGCGTTGCTGATGTTCTCGTATACCAAATGACCTGCTCCAAATAAGATCCACTTCGGGACGAAGGGGTGAGGGAGGGGGGGTCTGTATTGAAAGATCAATTCCAAGGGGGGGTTGGATTGAAACATCAATTCCAAGCAGAGGGGTTGAATTCCTTAATTATCAATTATTAGACCCGGAGGAGCCCACACTTGCTTCGCAAAACAAACTCAAGGTATCTCAGTGAGGGGGACCGTTCGTGATTAACACCTTCCTAGTAGTAACGCGTAGCGATGCACTTGCTACTAGTATCTTGTTACTAGTAGTTTTTAATGCCCTGACCTTGTTACATAGTTACTAGGAGCCAACAAATAGAAACAATAATGATCAACACCTTCACAAGGTCGGTGAGAATGTAAGTGAAGGTACTCAGTTAAAGCTGCATTGTGGTTCAGTCGCAGCAGCTGGTTCCTGTGCCACTGTGAAGCAACAAACAGTCTACAGCCACAGCAGTAGCAGCCCAGCTGCCGGAGTTATGGCAGTAGTAGTCTTAGTACCTTCTTTCAATACCGACGTCATAGAAATGACATGGCAAGGATGTAGAACTTCGCTGTATCAACCTAACAAAAGCAAACAGTTCCAGCCAGCAACCATCACCAGTTTTAAAATTAGTTGGAGCCATCTGTGGCCGCAAAGTATCAATTTGGTGGCCCCCTGTGGCGTACCATGGCGATGCCCTTGTTCCTAGTCGCGTTCTTGTTACAAGTAGTATGGCCAGGAGCCCCTAGTAGCGTCCTTGCTCCTAGTAGCGATGCCCTTTGCTCCTAGTGGCTTCTTGTTACCATCATATCGTCCTGTCACAACACTATATCAACAACTGTCTTCTCATGTCATTCAATGTTGTCGCAAACGAAGAATTATCATGACTTGTCATTTGATCTCTCTGCAAGGATGTTCCGACGTGATCTCAATTGTTGTGGGAATGTTGCTTCTGACCCCTTGCACATACCGAGGTGCCACAGTAGAGTTGATGGTAGTGATGGTACCGCTCAAATCTGACTGTGAGGCGCTATCTCTCTCTCTCTCTCACTCTCTTCTTTCTCCGGCTGTCTTGGACCCCAAGACATTCACTAGCGGAGACAACAAACACCGGCTTACATGATTTAGCATTGCAAATCGCAGCCAGCATAATCACAACAGCACTTATTGTATCAGTATAGCACATTCACCATGGACAATCACATGCGATAGTAGCATGAACCAAACAGCTGCCAACTATTTCGGGACCAGCAGTGCCACTGCACAATTTATTGAAACATGTTCAACAAAGCGCAGCACTGGCATGCCTTCGCCATGCATCTATCTCCACCAAGTGCGTCCGCAACATAAATAGCAAGGCAACTCGCTTTTCCTGCGCACTAAAGTAAGGGCAAGCAATTTGCACTCCTCAGACTGTGGCACTGGTAATGCTTTTGCTGCGCAATTGCAGTAGATGAGCTGTTACAAGCACCTTTTCTGTTACATAGAGGCATTTGCTCACAAAACAACAACGCCAAAAACGAGCTGGTCTAGTCTCATCGTCTGCTCAAGTGCGTCGAATGATATTGAAATCAACTCAATCATTCCCAATTGCTTGACCGAACATAGTGTCTCCATATAGTGAACTACTTCGGCGTTCTCTCATGTTCTCTCTTCAGGCTTTATGCTCCTCTTATTTTCGATCCAAGGGTACCCTAGGCTGTCAATCCGGCGTGTCCTTGCCATCTGTCTCGGTGGGCAACTCTGTTTCACCAGGAGACAGCCTTCCACCCTGTGTTGAGCGGAATGCTGATTAGCAAGATTAAATTTGAGAATCTTCAGGAAACACAGCAATATCATACAATATCGCTTTTCTACTTGTGGTAAGGGCTGGGGGTTGATAAAAAGGCGTAGCATAAGGTAGAAGCACCGAGAACCACAGCAATGACAGTTGCGAGGCGTGAGGCAAACTAACATTGCATACGATGAGTGGAGAGGGATCACATGAGGTTGAATATTGTTTATGTATATATATACAGTAAGTTTATAAGTAGCATTGAGATTCTCACATGATTGCAATAATATGAGCTATGCAGAGTAGATCAAAACGAAACCTGCTCGGGAAGTCTGTTGGTGAGATATGACAAGATGAATGAACCATGATACCATACGCGGGGAAACGTGCAGTAACGTCCAACAAGGGTGAGGTGTGACAAAATGAGATGAATGACACGCTGAAGTGAAATGAAATGCTTAGACTTTCAAAAAGATGATTGGGTCAAGAAAAATTGTGCGATTCAATCCCTCTGGCTCTGGGGATTGGGCAAACCTCTTGATGTTGGGACAAATCAGCAAAATCTGCAGTATATAAATGTGACAATGTTTAAAAACACATGTAAGGCAGCAGCTTCTGCAACTTTGATGGCAAGCTGGATGTCCTGCACACGATTCGCATCAAATGCCATCAAGTTTGGCAGCTTAGCATCCTTCAATCTTCATTTTGAGCTTGTCCAGCGTCCTGCAAGTGCACATTCTCCGTACGCGTGAAAAAGCCCCTGAAGCTGGAATACCATGCAGTGAAAAGGCAAATGTGAAGAGATGCCAGACAAACCTCAGCTCCAAACGCATAGTGTTACAAAAGTGAGAAAAGCGATGCCTCTGTGTTCTAAGCACTTGGTGATCTTGTTGGGCAAAATTCATGCAGCACGCTTGGCACTTGCTTCCGCACTCTAAGTCGCAAGCAATCACCAGTGGGAAGGTAAGGGCTGCCCAGGGCATCACCCAACCCGAAGGCTAGTGAACGGCATGTGTTCACAAATTGGTATACGTGTCACATCTGCAAATATCCAACCAACATAGCGTGTCAAGTCCTTCCTTTGTCCTGGAATGTTCTGAGTATCTTAATTAAGTCTTGTGAGGTGGTTGCTTTGTTTCCTGGTTATGTAGTGAGTTGTCGTTGTGTGTTGCCTATTGTGTTTTTGGGCATGGGACCACACTGCCAATACGTAGTATTCTGCGCGTGAATTGTCCACTCAAACTGATGGCCTTCAATCCTGTCTGGGAGGGCGCACTTGACAAGCGTTTCTCGTCACAGTCAGGTCTAAGGACCTAGGACTGTAGCCAAGCGGTTCAGTTGGCAAAAAAAGAAACAACCTCCACTGATCGAGCAACCGTTTTGCCGGATGGATCAAAAAGACACGTCAATGATAGATAATGATAGATATGATATACTGATATACTGTATATACTACTGTGTATACATCCTCATCGTTATTATTGGCACTTGACCCTGTCCTCCTGAAGAGCGGGGTGCGCACCGCTCACGTCTAAGCTTCGGAAAAGTGTCGCCGCCTCCACCTTGGATGGTCAAGCGCTAGCGGCTAGTCATGGCTCGCCTCCTGATCTGTCTTGTGTCATGTCATCTTGGCTAGAAAGCGACGGATCATGTTCGGACACTTTTGCCCTAAATTTTGTTGCGTCATGTTGCGTCAATCTTTGGGGCCTTGGTGACCCATCTTCCACGAGAACTATTCAACATGCCTTTAGATGTCCCGAGCTTGGCTCATAACATCCCGAAGGCGAGTGAAACCTGGAGCGATTTGAGTCCAAAACAATGTCTTTGATTGTATTTGAACGGTCTGGGCATGCTTAAAAATATTTCTGCTGTGCCTTCTGAACATCTGACGAAGTCTGGCATAAAATCAAGCGGAGAGCATTCCAATGAGGCGCCTACATTCTACTCCCGCTGGACTGTCCCAAGATGCAGATGCCTTGAACAAGTCACGGGCCTCTTTGTATGTGACCAACGCTGCATCTGGATCACCTAGAGAGCGCTGTACATGCCCAATATTCACCAATAGCGCCGCACCGTTTGATGTCTGTAGGCTCCCAGTTGATTCCTCACTAGTCGGTTATGCAGCTCAGAAGCGTGCAAAGTCTTGATTCAGGAAGATCACTTGCCAAACAATACGTCATTCCAAACAATTTGAACAAACACGCGCTTGGTGCGACTTGGTGTTATGACCCTCCCGCAGCCCTCTCTCCAAGATGCTAAAAGGCGTCGCGACTCTACATACATCCCCATAGCTCCTGCTCAAGCAGAACTTCATTGCTCCGAAGCCTGTGTCTCCAACAAAAGTTCAGTTCTTCTTTCGCCCCATCAAACCTGCTTTCACAGCTCTGTCCTTCCAGATTGCCTTGCTCTCGTTGCAAATGCCCCATGCTGGCGACCAATGCAGCTCCAGCAGGTGATTCAAGGAGTTCGCAACCACGAAGAACTTCTTGAGCCTGGCGAAGATGGATGATGATTGATGACAAGGAGGCAGCACTCAAAGGATAGAATTGCCATGAATTGCCACAGGTTGAACTTGCCACGTATATACGCGTCTCCTATCTCTTGGCCTGCCTGCCCATAACTTGAAAAGGCGCCCTTGAAGTCTTTCCGCTCCCGTTGGACATGCCCCAAGGACCTTGGCTTGCATAGCCGCTGCCCATGGCAACATCACCATGTAGCACACGGTCTCACCCATACACTTGACAAGTTGAAACCCTGGAAACCTCTTGTTCCTTTCTGAGTGGCTGCAGCAGTTGCGCACCATCAAAACTCCACAAGCTTTGGCAGGATTCATGAGCTTGGAGTGCCTAAAGGAAGCTTTGTCACACTTGCCCAGGGCCTACCCAACGGCAATCTGGAATGCATACACCTTCAAACAAGCTGTGCTGCCGTCCTGTTTTGGGGGCATCGGTAGATGGCTGTGTGTCATTAATGTTCATTGAAAAGGTAGTGGCCTTGCATGGCCTTACACAGTGAAACTGGGTGTAGTAGTACAGTAGTGCTCTACAAACAGGGCGCAGTTGCACCATGCAACTGGGCAACCCCCCTAGCTAGCCCCCCCCCCCTTCGAGCCTCTCTAAAATAGCAATCTGCAGCTTCTAAATCTTGCTGCTGCAATTTTACGTGACCTCACGACGGCTATTTATGCTGCATCGACACCTAGAGCCAATACTCAACCAATAGAAAAGCAAAACGTCCACTGAACTGGTTGATCAAGTGGTCATGTCCATTTCTGACAACATCTCACCACTAAACTTGTGCTAGCGGCCCAGCCGGGTCAGGAGCAAAGCACCTTCCTCGCATGTCAAGGAGCCACGCTGCAAGATAGCGTGGCCATCCAAAAGCAATGCTAAGGCACCCTCCAAGTCCCCCCGCTCCTCAGGTCGCGGTTTGTTTCACAATTTGTCGCAAACTCAAAGTTATCCAAAGCACAGGAAACTCCAACAGGATTTGAGCAATAATTATGATTCTCAAGCAAGCTATGTGAGCAAAAGCAATCCCGCAGAATAGCGTGGACCATTTCCAAGTCAAAGGCGCAATTGGGCTAGATGGCGCAATTGGGCTAGATGGCGCAATTGGGCTAGATGTATATAAGCTGCACAGGAACTAAATTAGATTGCGAAAGCAAAGGAAACACATCTTTCAAGGAAACGCAGGACAGCGGAACACAAGGACTAACACCTTTAATCAAAAGCAGTGTGTTGATCTTTACACTAGCAAACACTTGAGTTGAATTATACCCAGGCAAATCTTCACTCCCGTAGCGATAGCCTTCACAAAACAAACTTGGGTTGGCGCCTTTCCGATTTCGATTCAAACAAGCATCACGCTTGACATGGCCCATGGAGCTCAATACAGAAGCGTGCAACGGTGTGTGCAAATGGTCGACTTTTCCAAGAATCTCCAAAGCGGACCTGGACACTCCGGCTTCTGAGTACATTTCTACGTATCTAGCATTCTCTCATCACATTCAAAGCCAAGGAGTTGAAGTATCGGGACACCAAAGCCAAACACTGCTACAACTCGACCCCACTCGCTAGATCGGTCTGTTTGGTGCTGAGCCGCACGAGCAAGCTGTCGGCTCTGTCCAGTCTGCCCAAAGATCGAAAAAGTTCGGCCACCTCAATTCAAGCTAACTTCTTTTGATGTCCGATGCCCTGCATTTTGAAGAGAACCTTAAACAATATGACTATGACAAGGAAACTGGAGTCATTACATTCAGTACATGTCATTGTATACTTGTCATGACTCATGACGTGTCCTTCGTGCTGCCTCGCCGCACGCAAACATCCGTGGACGATGTCCGCTGAGGGCTTTTGTGACATCCGGTCTTTGACATGGTTGTAGGCCACATCAGCAAACCATTTTTGGAGCTGCAACACAACGTTGCCTCAATCAGCTTGCACATGCTGGCACACGGGCTCAGTAAACTGTTGTTCCTTGATCTTGAACCAGTACTCAATTCACAGTACGTTCTTGGGGAGCAGAGCATGAAGTTTAATGACAATTTGGATATTCTCTGCAAACATCTGCAAACAAGGATCTGTTAAGCTGAGTGAAGCCACAACCCCTCTCCACCATGCTGAAAATGTTATCTCTGTCTAACGGCACAGAGGCCTCTGCCTTCAAGCGAGGCTGTGATTCGTCGCAACAACAAACAATCTGAGTCCGTGTATTGCTGTTTGGGGTCTCCAATAACCCTAGTCAATACCTGAAACTACGACAATGAAAACGTAGCCTGTTGCAGCTTCGTCTCGGACAAAGTTCGCCACTGTTCCTGTAACAATTCTAAACAGCTGCCACGTAATGACCAAAATCTTTGACAAATGGTAAACAACCAAACTCGGGTGTCCTGCAAGCCGACTCCATCATAAACAGCTTTGGCAAATCCTAGGACCTTGAGTGAGCAAATTCAAGAAGCCAGTGGACTCTTTTCATACTTCTTGCATCTTTTTGCTCACACCGAACTCACACCTCTGCAGGAGGCATGACAATGTCCAACTTTCCAGCCTGGCAAAACAGGTTCTCTTCTTGTGGAACGAGTGTCTCTGCACTTCTGTCGCAAGTCTCGGGCCTCAAGCGCTGTATGAAGCTCAAAAACACACCAGGCCCGGCGACAGTATTTTGGTGCGCGCCACGGCTCCATTAAAGCAATCACATGACCTCCCACAAATGCCGCCCAAATAAGAACTCCCAGAAACAACACATATGAAAGGTTTTTGATGTTTTTTGTATGTTTTGGTATTCACATGTGGCATTCTGTGGCTGCCTTCGTCGAAAGCAAGCCAACTCACGTAAATGACACTATCATGAACTAAAAGGGCAAACCTAACTGAAGTCGACGTTCATTCAGCGAGGGTGCAAACATAGCAAAGCTTCCATTAAAAAGCAAACAAAAAGGACCAAGTGCCAAGTGGTGGTGGATAAACATGCGACAATTGATATAGAATCTAAAATCACATGCGAACTGAATTGTTCCCAGGGTCCAATTTGAGCAATCCTGCTCCCAAACTCAGTGGCGAAGTCATCAAAAGGAACGCTCACCCCAAGTGCTCGGCTCTCCTTTGCACTGTTTCCGAGCAGAACACATAAAAGCTATTGAAATGTTCAATTGGTTAATTGGTTGGAATCATGCCAAGCTCATGGGTCATGGTCTCAATCCATGCCTTTGAACTTCAAGCTCTGTGCCGATACAAACTGAACATACACCTGCAACAGTGGAAAACATCCCTCCTGGACTCTGTGTTGGTTGATGCCCATGAAGCAGGTCCACACCTGAGCTGGTTTGCGCCCTTTTGTTCCAATGCCATATCCTTTGTTTGGCTGCTGCTGGCACTCTTTGGCCCTGTAAAACTGCACAAATCGGAGCAACATCTTCCGAGTTTTAGATCAGTTCCACGCGGTAGCTCAGCAGGAGATATCACAAATATGGTGGGGTGGCATGAACGTAACAAATCTCTTGTCATAGCCCCCACATCACCACAACCCATCTGACAAGCTGCCAGAAAACGGTAAACACTTATATATATATATATACAGTATAGTGTTATATATATATAATCACTCTTAGTTCTCTGCTGCCAAAGCGGTCCAAAGTAGTACAGTATGCAGTCATCAGGCACAAGGACGCACAAAGTGAAGCATGATCCGGGAGTTGGACGGTTCATGCTTCAACTTCTCCACCGCAAAAACGCAGTGGTGCCACTGATGCTGCTTTGGCCTTTTTGTTTGCATTATCTTGATGCTTTTGTGGGTGTCCCTTTCAATGTTTTTCCGACCCAAAGGACTCAAAAGGACACCCACACTTTCAGCATGTTTATGGCGCAACCTGCGGATCTGCACGGCTAAAGCAGCAATATTTGCATCATTGCTTTGCCCTCCGACTGCTCCACTCTGGAATGCGTACTTCGTACCAAGTACTAAAGTGCCAGGGGAGGTGAATGAAAGGTCTCAACTCGACTAGGGAGATGGAAGCAATTGCTTTGCCAGCCTTGCAAAAAGAGAAAGAGAGAGAGAGAGAGTG